GATCCTCAGCCAGAGAGATTCAATCGTACCCTCCTGAATATGCTCGGGAATTTGACTTCAGTGCAAAAGCAACACTGGAGTAAGCATGTAGCAGCCATCGTACATGCCTACAATAGCACTGCCAACGATGCTACAGGATACTCTCCTGATGTTCGGCCGGGAAGCCTGACTGCCAGTAGACTTGGCTTTTGGAACCTCTGTAGACCATACCTCTGCAGCTTCCCATAGAGGATATGTGGACCGCCTAAGGAAAAGCCTGAAGATTGCTTATGATAAGGCTCAAGCCACCTCAGACGCCAGGGGACAGAGAAACAAAGAGAACTTTGATCTCAGAGTGCGAGTACAGGACTTACAATCTGGAGACAGAGTCTTACTGAGAAATCTGGGTATCCCTGGAAAACACAAGTTGGCGGATAGGTGGCGATCAGAGCCCTATGTCATCTGCAAACAATTGCCTGGATTGCCAGTTTACCAGATTCGACCGGAAAAGGGTGTTGGCCCACTCAAAACCTGGCACCGCAACCACCTTTAGCCTTTGTCAGATGCAGTCCGTCTACCATCACAATCTGATCCACAGTCTACCCCCTCTCAACTTCTCAGAGGACTAGACCTGTGACCAGGTCACAACCCACACCACTCCTGCAGATGAAGAGGACAGTGAGAGTGAGGAGGTAGGGACAGATTTGCTGTGGCCATCTGACATTCCGAACCCACCATTCCTTCTTCCACTGGAGTGACTGACGTAGTTCCTCTTAGGCCAGAGGCTCCTGAATTTGTGCCTCAGGCCCAACCTGCAGAAGACTTGCAAGAACCTGAAGACTGGTGGTCCATTGTTGATGAGGGAGAAGATGTGGAGGAAGCTGAACTGGGAGAGACAGAGAGCGTCGAGCAAGAAGCGAGGGTTGATGAGTCAGTAGTGTCAGAACCAACATCGGAAGCAACGCCAGAACCATTGCTAGAGCCCAGAGAACAGAGAGAGCGTAGAGTTATTCAACCCCCAAAGAGACTGACATATGATGTGTTGGGTGAAAACTCTGAGGAAGTAGTACATGCTTCTCAAAGGAACCTCGTGACGCCTGGTTCTCCTACAGCAGTTTCGGTAGAGAACAGCCCCAACTCACCCCCCTGGCACATCTGGTTGGGCCATTCCCATTAGTGTGGCCTATGGGCAGGACAACCCTCACTCTGCTACATGGTGGGAGGTTCCTCTGCCAGATTCTTATGCAAGTGTGAATAATTTAATTTCCTGTGTTACTAACTTTGCTTTTTCTCCGCGTGTATATAAAAAGCATGTAACAGGTTGCTTTTACTGCTGTCTTCGGAGGACCAAAGCTTCTCGAGTGGGGGGAGTGTGTAGCAGGCTCCTTGTACAAGAGGATTCAGAAGGAATCACATGATCAGCAGTCAGTCCTTTCTCTCTCTCTCCTATTTGTAAAACCTGGGCATTCTGCCAAGTTCATGACTCATCCACTACACAGCAAAGAACGCTGGGAGGGGGAGGAAGCAGGAAGTGAAGGGGAGAACAGAGAGACACGAGGCTGGAGAAAAGACAGGGACATGTGGAGCCCGTCCAAGCAGAGGAGGAGGCACTACAGCACTCAGCGCGGATAGAGGGACCCTGCTGTGTGTTCAGAGTCTGGTGAGCTGTCCCCCTGGAGAGAGTAAGACACACCATTTACACTTTGCATATAGACTGGGACATCCGCACCCCACTGCTGGGATATCTCACCCATGCGGGGCCCTGTGCAAGCCACAGATCCCTCTGCCTGCTTTGCCCCTCACCACCAGTGTAATTGAGACTGTCTGCCCCGGGGACTGACACATACTGGGAGATTGCATCCTGCGACTGCCCCTGGTCTTGGGGTGCTTTGTGTTGCGTTTAGACACTGAGGTTGGACCCTCTCAGCCCAGAAACCTAGTGAAATCTGATGTAACCACACCAGCTGAAACTCCAAAGAAGCCTTCAGCTGCTATTTACTTCATTGTAAGGACTAAACGTGCACCAACTAGAGCTCCACCATTACAAGGACTGAAGTGGGGGAATCTGGCTTAGTAGCCTTATTAGAGGTACCTCTTTATTGCATTCTGTTCTGACTCTGAGGTGATTTTTGGCTAACGCCCCTCAGAAGCAGAATCATACACTGGTGTGGGTAATACATTTCATTGATAGAGCATAAGTAAGTTTATTTGTTTGATATCAGTTGTATTCGGCTTAAAGTGCGACTCTGCCATCCGGAGACTCTTGGCTGTGAAGCCCTCTAGTGGCAGAGCAAATTTACTGCATTGCATAAAAGAAGAAAAGTAGGTTTGGAAGTTGAAAGGTGAACCCCCCCCTCTACACTGCATTTCATTCTCCATAAAATTGTTCTTGTTTTATTTAACCCTGTGTCAGCAAATTTCTTGGCGGGGTATTTGCTATTCATTACCAGTTGTGCCAGAGGGATTGGGTTTGCTTAGGGTTGGATCTATTGAGTGCAGGACCCATAATATATTCCAGCTTGTCCCAAGGGGCAGTGCTACACTCATATCAATAACAACATATAATACCTTATAATCTGTAGATATACTTACAGTATATGAAAATGCAAAAAAGATAATTGGTTAAAAGACATAGATGCTTCAGAAAAGTCTCCTCATTAAACTGGGGGCCGAACGAACCAGGACAGCCAGGGGCGGACTGACAACTCATGGGGCCCCCCGGGCAGTAGGAGATCATGGGGCCCCTGTGTCCTTGCCCAAACTCAAAAAAGCCTATGAAAAAGGTACCAGGGACATCTCATGGGGCCCCCTACTGACCCCGGGCCCTTGGGCAGTGCCCGAGTTTCCAAATGGTCAGTCCACCCCTGAGGACAGCAGAACCCCCCAAAAAGACCTGGAATCACAAGGGCATCCCAACTCACTGCAATAGATGACTAAATGAGTAATTGAAAACATGCTATATATATCACATCAAAGTGTGAACAGGGGACCCACCATAAAGTGTATAGACCTCCAAGTCAGCACACACAACCCCAAAGTTGTATTTGATGGAAATTCGTGAGAGACACCCCCAACAGAAAGGGGAAGAAGGTACAAAACATTACGGCCACACCAAGAAAAACTGCAATGAATGACTATAAATGTAAGTTATAAACACACGTACTGTGTCCAACAGGGTATAATGTTAATTGAAAAGACATGAAAAACCCACCATAAAATATCTGTCAGGAATGGACTGGCCAGCAATGGTGGGACTCGCCTGCCTTATGGGCTGCAGTACCAGGGCTGGCCAGCGGGTGCTTTCAGCAATCAGAGACTCAACCTTGCAGCCAGCTAAACACCTGAAACTGCTTATACTGGTGTATTTAAGGGATGGCCAGACCTGCAGACTCTGCCTTGGTGTGTGTTTTTCCTGGGCCCTGTATCCTGTTCCTGCATCCTGTTCCTGTCTTGTTGCTGACCCTGCCTGATCTGACCTCTGCTGACTTCTCCTGCTCTGACCCCGGCTCGTTCCTGACCATCCCTCTGCCTGACCCTCTGTACCACGCTGCCCGCTACCTGCTGAACCTGGCTTGTGACCCCGACCATTCTCTGCTTGCTCCCCCTGTACCTACCTGCCCGATTGATATTGACCCGGCCTGCCTGACGACGCTTGCATTGTATGTACTGTTATCTGTGGGTGGTTGGTTTGGTTCGTTTGCACTGTGTTGTTTTAGTATTGCACTGCGTTTATGTTTGTATTGTTAGTGTTAATAAATTATATTGTTTATAACATATCTGAAGTCTGCGTTTCCCTGCGTCAGTCACACACCTCTGGTCATACCCGGGAGCCCTGACATTACACCAAGGCCAATCCTGACCAGAAGTGGCTGCACAGGGAAGCCATCTTGGTTTGTTGATGGGAAGGATGGATCTTGATGAGGTTGTGTATTTATATCTGCAAGTGTTTGATGACAGAGAGTATGCTTATCAAACTCTGAAGGAGTATCCCCGGGATGAACTGCTAGAATGTATACGGCTCGCTCATGTTCTAGTAGATCAGAGCACAGAATTCTCTGAGGTGCAGCCATTGATTCAGATTTGTGCGGAGTTGGTTTCATCTGGTACCCCCGAATGCAGGGATGAATTTTTGCCGCCATTTAGTGCCGACCAGGTAGAGTCCCTGGTATGGTTATTAGAGGATGATGTGGATTGCTTCTTGGAGCATTATGCTGCATGTTCACCACAGATACTAAGAGATTGTATAAACGCAGTGCAGTCTTTGGTCAGACAGGCTTTGTGTAAGCTCAGCTTTGTTCAACCCATACTGCAGACATGGACAGATTTGTTGCACCCAGCCTCAGTCAGCCTACAAAAACCCAGTCCTGCTTCTAATCTATTTCCTCAAAGCTCTATTCCTGCATTCCCAACAGCTCCTCCTGCCCTGCTATCTACCGTATATCAGTACCCTGTTCCCACACTCGCTGCACCTATCCTGCCTTTAACCCTGTAAAAAAGCCCTCTGTAGCAACTGCTCCCTCCCCTGTTCCATCCTCCAGCTCTTCTCTGTCTCCAGCTGCTCCATTCCTTTACAAACCTGCGTTTACTTGCAGTGCTCCAGTAGTTAAAACCAGAAAAAAGCGAAAATTCTTTCCAACCAATACCATCCTGCCAGTATCTAAAACCGGTGAGCCTGCCGTCTGAGAACCTGCCTTCCGTGGTTCAGCCTGGTGCCTCGGCACCCGCACTGCAACCTGATGTCTGTACCCGGCCTGATGCCTGTACCCAGCCTGATGCCTGTACCCAGCCTGATGCCTCTATTCAGCCTGATGCCTCTATTCAGCCTGATGCCTCTACTCAGCCTGATGCCTCTACTCAGCCTGATGCCTCTACTCAGCCTGATGCCTCTACCCAGCATGATGAACTGATCCAGCCTGATGATCCTATTAGGCCAGGTGACTCGATGCCCGCTGTTGATCCAGATGATCCGGTACCTGATCCGGTGCCCGCTGTCGTGCCAATTGACTCAGAGCCCCCTGTCGTACCTGGTGACTCGGTGCCCACTGTCTTGCCAGATGACGCGGTGCCCGCTGGCAAGCCAAATGACCTGATGCCTGGTGACCCAGTGCCCGCTGTCATACCTGGTGACCCGATGCCCGCTGTCGAGCCAGACAATCCGGTACCTGATGACCCGGTGCCCGCTGTCATGCCAATTGAGTCAGAGCCCACTGTCATGCCTGGTGACTTGGTGCCCACTGTCTTGCCAGATGACGCGGTGCCCGCTGTTGAGCCAAATGACCTGATGCCTGGTGACCCGATGCCCGCTGTCCAGCCAGACGATCCAATGTCTGACCCAGTGCCCGCGGTCATACCAGTTGACTCGGAGCCCACTGCCTTGCCAGATGACGCGGTGCCCGCTGTCCAGCCAGACGATCCATTGTCTTACCCAGTGCCAGAGGTCATGCCAGTTGACTCGCAGCCCACTGTCGTGCCTGGTGACCCGGTGCCTGTCGCTCCGCCTGGGGGTTCGGCGCCCGCCGCTCCGCCTGGGGGCCCGAGACCTGTCGCTCCGCCTGGGGGTCCGGCGCCCGCTGCTCCGCCTGGGGGCCCGAGACCTGTCGCTCCGCCTGGGGGCCCGATGCCTGTTGCCCCGCCTGGGGGCCAGATGCCTGTTGCCCCACCTGGGGGCCCGATGCCTGTCGTCCCTCTTAGGGGCCCGGCGCCCGCCGCTCCGCCTGGGGGCCCGGCGCCCGCTGCTCCGCCTGGGGGCCCGATGCCTGTCGCCCCGTCTGGGGGCCCGATGCCTGTCGCCCCGTCTGGGGGCCCGGTGCCTGTCGCCCTGTCTGGGGGCCCGATGCCTGTCGCCCAGTCTGGGGGTCCGGCGCCCACCGCTCCGCTTGGGGGCCCGAGACCTGCCGCTCCGCCTGGGGGCTCAATGCCTGTCGCCCCGCCTGGGGGCCCGATGCCTGTCGCCCCGTCTGGGGGCCCGATGCCTGTCACCCCGTCTGGGGGCCCGATGCCTGTCGCCCCTCCTGGGGGCCCGGCGCCCGCTGCTCCGCCTGGGGGCCCGATGCCTGTCACCCCGTCTGGGGGCCCGGTGCCTGTCGCCCCGTCTGGGGGCCCGGTGCCTGTCGCCCCGTCTGGGAGCCTGGTGCCTGTTGCTCCGCCTGGGGGCCCGGTGCCTGTTGCTCCGCCTGGGGGCCCGGGGCCTGCTGCTCCGCCTGGTGGCCCGCTGCCTGCTGCTTCGCCTGGTGATCCGATGTGCCTCTGCCCGGAGTCCAGCCCGATGTGCCTCTGCCCGGAGAGTCCAGCCCGATGTGCCTCTGCCTGGAGTCCTGCCCGATGTGCCTCTGCCCGGAGTCCTGCCCGATGTGCCTCTGCCCGGAGTCCAGCCCGATGTGCCGCTGCCCGGAGTCCAGCCCGATGTGCCGCTGCCCGGAGTCCTGCCCGATGTGCCGCTGCCCAGAGTCCAGCCCGATGTGCCGCTGCCCGGAGTCCTGCCCGATGTGCCTCTGCCCGGAGTCCAGCCCGATGTGCCTCTGCCCGGAGTCCAGCCCGATGTGCCTCTGCCCGGAGTCCAGCCCGATGTGCCGCTGCCCGGAGTCCAGCCCAATGTGCCGCTGCCCGGAGTCCAGCCCAATGTGCCGCTGCCCGGAGTCCAGCCCGATGTGCCGCTGCCCAATGTGCCGCTGCCCGGTGTGCCGCTGCCCGATGGGCTGCTGCCCGGAGTCCTGCCCGGTGTGCCGCTGCCCGGAGTCCTGCCCGGTGTGCCAGTCTTTGATATCCCGCCAGTTACCAGACCCGGGCGGTGGAACATTTTGCCCAGCTAGGACTGTTTGGAGCGTCCTGAGGCCGCTCCTTGGGGGGGGGTACTGTCAGGAATGGACTGGACAGCAATGGTGGGACTCGCCTGCCTTATGGGCTGCAGTACCAGGGCTGGCCAGCGGGTGCTCCCAGCAATCAGAGACTCAACCTTGCAGCCAGCTAAACACCTGAAACTGCTTATACTGGTGTATTTAAGGGATGGCCAGACCTGCAGACTCGGCCTTGGTGTGTGTTTTTCCTGGGCCCTGTTCCTGCATCCTGTTCCTGTTCCTGTCTTGTTGCTGACCCTGCCTGATCTGACCTCTGCTGACTTCTCCTGCTCTGACCCCGGCTCGTTCCTGACCATCCCTCTGCCTGACCCTCTGTACCACGCTGCCCGCTACCTGCTGAACCTGGCTTGTGACCCCGACCATTCTCCGCTTGCTCCCCCTGTACCTACCTGCCCGATTGATATTGACCCGGCCTGCCTGACGACGCTTGCTTGTATGTACTGTTATCTGTGGGTGGTTGGTTTGGTTCGTTTGCACTGTGTTATGTTTTAGTATTGCACTGCGTTTATGTTTGTATTGTTAGTGTTAATAAATTATATTGTTTATAACATATCTGAAGTCTGCGTTTCCCTGCGTCAGTCACACACCTCTGGTCATACCCGGGAGCCCTGACAATATCTCAATGTCCAAAACTGATTCTATATCCTCTTCATGTTTGACACAGTGAGTATAATAAAGGGCTTCAAGGCAAATATGCCCAATTGGAACCACAGATTACTAAGACCACACCACAGAACACTGCAAAAAATAACTATGTAAACAAGTCATAAGACCACATACTGTGTCAGACAGCATATAGAGAGAAAAGGAACACATAGAAACCCATCATAGAGTGTTTAAAAATCAAGATTCTGCACTTCCTCTTTATATTGGCACAATAAATATAATATAATGTGGGGCTTCAAGGACAAATAGGTCCAAAAAAGGATACAAATTACTACGACCACACCACAGGGCATTGCAATTAATTTATATATATGGGTCATAGGAACCCAGAATGTGTCCAACAACTTATAATAATAGATGAAAAACACACCATGGAATGTCTCAGTAGTGTCCAAAGGAAGGAAACCAGAAAAGGCTTACCAAAGAGCCCTGAATATGGTGCTCTCATGTATACAGGACCAACCTGCAGCGCTGCAAGCAACCATGTTCAATGGCTCACAGAAATAGACGTACATATGCCACTCAATGCTGTCATTAAGAAGATAAAAAACATAAGCGCAACTATCCAACTAACAAGTTCTGAACAACAGCATAGAAAGCACTATTATACCCAAAAAAGGGCTAACCAACATGGCCGCAATGTGGCTTGCCAAAACCCATAAGGATACTGCTCTCCAACCTACACAGAAAAGGAAAGAAACCTGCAGTGTGTCAAAGACCATGTGTGTCAGCTCACAGAGAACGAGGATTATCAGAGAACAGGAGAGAGGCTCCCTGTGATATAGGAGCCTAATTAGAGCAGTGATGATGTCCAGCTGTGCCACAGGGATCCAAGATGGCGTCTTAAAAACGCCGGACCACTGCTGCAAAAGCATGGACGTTGCTGGGAACTGCCCCCCCCCCCCCCAACGTCGGTGCTCGATGTCGCTTTCCGGCTATGACTCGGCTTGCTTTCCAACCTGCCTCTTGACTTTTGATTCTTTATTATGAGGTTGGCTTGCGTTAAGGACTCCTGCTGTCTTCTGTCTTGTACTAGGTGTGCCTGACTGCTACTTGCAGTATATTAGTATATTGTGTGTAATATATATATATATATATATATATATATATACATATATATTGAAGATATTGAAACACATACTGTTCATTCTTGGACAGGCCCCTGACAAGACCACTTTACACATCAAAAGAACTCTTTGCTATGTTAATTGTATGCAAGGTCACCTTGGTATTTGGAGAATAGCCTGTTTATCTTCAAAGGGTACATTGTTTACATGTTTAAGAATGATAAAGAATGTGATTTGACCATACAAAAAGAATTTATTGATGGTAATTAGACTTGAGGGGGGTATTATATAGTGAAAGGATGACTTGATTACCTGGTAAACACTATAGTAAACACTCCATGCCCCCACACTCTATGTGACCACCCTCTGGAATGTTTTGCAGGAGGCATAAGAGGAGCCCTATCATCAACTCAGTCTCTATGTGATAATATGTGCCAATGTGGCCATAAAAGGAGATGTCTTTTTTTCAGAAAGAAAGTTGGACAACAGTGGCTAAGCGGTTAGCACTTCCACCTGGCAGCACTAGAGTCGCCAGTTCACCAGCACTATCTTGCCTGGAGTTTTCATGTTTTCCCAGTAGCTGTTTGATTTTCCTTCAACACTCCAAAGACAAGCTGGTAGGTTAATTGGACTTAGTATGTATATGTATGAATGTTAGTTAGGCACCATAAATTGTAAGCTCCTTGATGGCAGGAACAGATGTGAATATACAATATAAATGTAAGTGGTCTGTGCTATATAAGTACCTGTAGTAAATAAACATCTTGGAGGCTGAGGTGTAACTAGTCCAGAAAGGAAAAGGTTGTCAAGAAAAAGTATATAGGTTTGTAGAGCTCGGCACCTAATCAGTAGGCTGCAATTATATAAAAATTTCTACTCGCTCTAATTATGTAGATATTCAAGAATATCAGAAATATGAACTTTTCAAGTGTGGGTATTTCTAAAAATCCCATTAGAATGTATTCTATAAAAGAAGTATTATGGCAACCATCCATTATTTAAACCTTTAGATTATACTGCAGTTGATTCAGACCGTATTAAAGTTGACCTTAAGGCATACAAAAAGATAAAAAATTAGTGTGTCTCTGTATTCATTAATACATTTTTAAAGTGTAAGTTCACCTTTTCAGAAAAAAATTTAAATTAAACACCCTACACCCTCCTCACAAGCAGCCAATGCAGCAGTCCAGGGATTTGATATCATTATCTTGTATTGATAGCATAAGTGGACCACTTTGGTAATTTAATATTAAGTTTGTACCCAGCCACACATTACATAGACCAAATCGGTTGGCAGCAGCAGGGAAACATTGTTGGATGATGGGTCATTGTGAATAATCATGGATCTACATTGCTGTACAACGTGATTGGTAATTTTATCAAGGAACATTATTTATTATTTTTGGCAATAAAGGGCATTTTCTTTTGTGGGAGTCTTTTCTTTTTTACATCTTTGCTGAAATATGTGAAGGGCACCAATGTACTAACACGGCCTAGTGTGATTCAGGAAGGGAGGGCACACATTCGCTGCCTTCAGTTTACTGGCCACCCAATTTGCCTGTATGGTTAGGAGTTTAAGGGGAACCCCATGTCTTTGTTTTTTTTTAAATTTGTACTACCCTTTTAATAAAAAAAAAAAAACCCTTAATAGTAAGTAATCATGAGTTGAAATTTTATTATATATGTAATTACAGAAATATTGAAAATTACCTTTGATATATAGATTGGAGAAATCATAAATATTGTACATTATGACACATTTAATACATTATATTACATATAATAATCAAATCTTGTAAAGAACACATATCAGTAGTTAATTCATATTTAAAAAATAATAATGAATGCTATTTTAGTAAAACAAAATGCAAGAAAAGGCAATATATTCTCAAAGTTAATGGGAAGAAGACAAATGTTGGCAGGCAAAGTGAATAAAGCAAGTATGCCAAATCTTCCACTTCCTAAAAAAGCAAATGCAGTTTTGTGCCAGGGTAGGGGATTAAAGAGACCCTGTCATCAAACGGTGCATTTTAATAAAAATA